CAACTGTCTTTTAGCCTGGGACATACTTTCCTCTCACATCCCACAAAACAGATATTTGCTCACCTGCAGTATAAAACAAAATAAATACTGGGTTCTAGGACTCTCCAGCCATGGTAGAGTACTCTGTCCCAGAGACACCCAGCACATGCCTGGGGAAAGGGGATGCCTCCAAGTTCCCAGCCAAAAAACAGGTATAAATGGCAAAACAACATCAATTGCAATAACTGGGGATTTGGCTGTTGTGTAAAAAAAGTAGAGCTGGCATGCTGAGGTGTCAGACAGGGCTGTAGCAGAACAGCAACTAAGAGTAGAGTGTAAAATACAGCAAGAGATGCGCATGCAACTTCATCTCATACTCTCAAGCTGGCTGCTCTTTGAAGTTGCTTAGGTATTTTTAAGCACACTGCCATTTTAGCAGACAGAACTAGCAATGCTGGTCAGACATGTGACATCTGACAAGACACAGACTCTGGGATGCACTACTCCAAGAAGACACAACTATCCCAGTACCTGCACACCTCACCCAACACTGTAGAGCAACCCTGTGGGACAGGCATACATGGAATGGGAAGTGATGGATGAACCAAGCCAGAGAGGCATTATTTTGTCATGTGAATGGAAGAGCATTGCAGAAACCAGCTCTGCACGTTTTCAGGAGGGGAAAAAAAGTACAAAAGCACTCAAGCAAAGAGAACTGTTTGTGTTTTAAAGTTGACCTTGCTTTTTTTTCCACATGCATTCTGTTCTAGCATCAATGACTGCGCTGGTATCCCCTCCTCCAAAATAGCTAGTCCATTAGGTCATCTTTGGGTACATCCTAGTGCCAGTTCCTCTAACAAGAATCTTCTCACCTAAGACATTCTCCCTCCCTCAACCCACAGAATGGATGCCAAGCTTAAACATATTGTGCCATCATGATGAGGCAAGACAAGAGACATGTTGTGGTAAGGGGCTACACACAAGACAGAGTAGAGATGTGAGGATGTGTCACTCGTAAAAAAAATTCAACAGAACACTAAAACTACAAGCTTAAATTTAAGGATGCTATGCCTTAAACATCCTGGTTTAAATGTTAGCATGAGTACATTTTTAAAAACATAGTTTAAACAAATGTTTGCGCATAAATATGCAATATGTTGCTTTCAGCAGGAGGTTGGACAAGAGACCTCTCAAAAGTTTCCTCCAACCTGAATTACCCTGTGATCTTACATCACAAATGCCAATATAAACACATAAATAAATACACATTGAGTATAGCTGTAAATGGACACACACGAATACCTATGTCCATGTGCACATGTGCAGCACTGCACTGTAGTAAAATACCACCTCCTCCAGGGACCACAAAGGAAGCCACTGTGCAGATTTTGATTTTTAGTTGATTATTTTTTCAGACATTGTGAGAAATGTTGGCTTTGAAATATATTTGCTATAAAAATTTTCCTCCTTTCTTTTAGCTTAGAAACTTGTGCTCTCCTCTTACTACAGAGTTATCCTAGAGTTTGGAGGAGGTGGAGGAAGATAGGCTGAAGAAGTGAACACAGGAAGGTGAGTGATCATCCTGTGGATGTGACTGACAACCAAGGCATACATATGGGATGTGCTGGGCTCTCATGTATAGTTAGAATATTCATGTACAGGATATACAGCTACTATTATTGTTTCAGAAGCACAAACAAAAGAAAATGTGATTTTGACACGAGTTCCAATATCCGAACAGAGTCCAGATCATTAAGAAAAAGTTATAATTTCCACTTAAATTTCTTTCTAACTAATGCCTATTATTAGTTAAGGTAAATATAAAACAAAAAAGCAAACACAACAAAATCAAAATCTTTTCTCCATTACATTCACACTGTGCTACAGAAGTCTTGATTCAGGGCTGAATTAGCTGCACTCTCTCTAATAGCTGTTGTGAAAGTGGAATCATTGCACCCTACATGCAACTGTAATTGATGACAAACCTCGCAGTCACTTGTGTTGCTTATTTTTCCTGCCATTGGAGATTTCCAAATAGCTTCACTACAGTGCAGGTTAGAAGGTGACTCACTGGGCCAACGGCCAAGGAAAGGAATATTGCTTCTCAACATGTTACATTCCTAAAATTCACCAGTTTCAAGCAGTTTTTCCCTCATATTTTAAGAAAACTAGACTTCTGTTGTAAGTGACTGAAAGAACAAAACAACTGATCTTCTCCATCATTTTGTAAAAATCACTGCTGGCAGAAGATTTTCACCTTTGGTTTAATCTTGAGTTTCTTTTAAATCAAGATGTCATTCTGGGAAGAGCCTGGTTATGACCCAGTTTCTACAAACACTGCAGTAGCCTGGGCTGATCTAGGTTAAATGCGAAGAGGGCCATTGTTTTAAAAGTAAAATGACACAGAGCCAGCTGTGAGTAATGTCCTGTAGAGCACCACAGGAGCAGCACAAGCGAGTTAACAGTAGGGCAAACAGGTGCTGGGTAAGGGGTGTTGTGATCTGTCTCCTTCAGCAGTGCTGGAGAACTAAAGGTAAAGGAGGAGGGGGCACCTACCAGGGTTGCCACAAAGTCGGCTTTACTGCCATTGCCTTTATGACAACAATATAAAGTAACTCCCACAACACAGTGAAGATAAGCTCTTTAGAGAAAATATAAAAGCATTTGCCTGGCAATTCATCCGAACCTCATCATGCATTGTAGACATTTTTGAAGTTTAACAAAGAAAAGCACATCATTAAAGAATACTGCTCTATCACCATTCTTATGCAAATCCTTTCAGATAGTTGGATGGAAAATTCCATCTAACACACAGTGAGAAATAAATGTTGCAGGGTGGAAATTTCAGCTATACCAAGTGCATCTATCACTTGTATAATTCAAACTACTGTATGTGCCCTGACTACAGAATTAGTATTGATCCATTCACCATGTAAACATCAAGTACTTTCTATTATTACTTGAAATAGCATGCTATCACAATTTCTATTTCCTCCCTCTATCTTAAATAGAAGTATTGCACATTAGCTCTTCCCTTCGTGTACTTTTTTGCACAGCTATGTAACTACACTGTTTGAGGCTGTGCTAGGTTTCCTGCAGACATTTGCAGTATTACCATCAAAGTACTTTATTTTCAAGTCATCTCTGATGGAAGGCAATACAACTCTCATACAACCTGTTACTGTGCTTCTCTTGGTAAAACACACAAAGTCCTTTGTTTCACAACCTCTGTTGTGACTACCATTGCAAATGACAACATTAAACAGCTCTCCCAAATGTTACTCACACACCTCTCATGAGTATCACTAAGATAAGAGTGGATTGCAAGAGACTAAATAGCTATGACATCTGAGCACACACAGGTTGGGGGGGGGAGAGGGGGGGAATCATGATTTTCATTCTCACTTTGTCAACAAAAAAAGCTGATGTGGCTAAAATGCAGCTTTGAAAAGTGCTGGGAGATGCTTAGAAGCATAATGTGTTTCACCTGTTAGAACCTTGCTTTGTCTCTGAGCATGGTGAAAAATTGAAAATGGACATATCAGGGCTTATCTCCAGAAAAACTCTAAAATTTTAGACTGGAGAGTTAATCCTAAGATTTCAGCAAGACACCCCAGATCCTGAGTGCTGAAGAGCAAAAGCTCTGTCTCAGAGGGGATAGTGGCAACAGATGGATGGTCTGCTCAGCCTGGTGGCAGAGGGAGGTAGGAAGGTTAAGAAGTATCAGGAACCCTGAGGAGAAGACTGACTGGTGGAGCCATGTTCTGACATACCTGAGGCAAATGCATCAGCCAACTGCATCACAAGGAGCAGAGGATCAACTACTCTCTTGCCAGCAGGTAGGAGGAAGGGACCAAAGAAATGAGGAGGAATGGAAGCAGGTCTCTACTTGACATAGCAGATGAATCCCGCCCCAGCCTCTCTCACCTTCTCAGGTGTCTTTATACAATAGGTACAAGGCTTTGGAACTTGAGGGCCAGGTATACAACAAATTGGATCAAAGTCTACCCAGGCTGGAGGAACTTCCTTGGATGAGTCAGCCCACCTCCCCCACACCCCCTCAGTCAAGAAGCAAGGAAGGGTAGTTGTTGGTGGTTACTCCCTTCTGAGAGGAACAAAGGGCCCAAAATGCCCACTGGACCCAACCCACCACCCTGGGAATTGTGTTTCCTCCCTGGGTAAGGGAAGTTACCAGAAAACCTTCCGGTTTGGTGCAACCCACTGGTTATTATCCATTTCTGGTTCTTCAGGTGGGCAGCAATGAACTCCCAGCAAGAAGCCTGAGGCAATCGAGAGGGACTGCAGGGTCTTGGGGGGACAAGTGGTGTTCTCCTCTATCCTGCCAGTTGCAGAGAATGATGGGGGTGGAAACAGGAAAACCCTACAGGGGAACACCTGGCTCCAAGCATGGTGTTACTGTCAGAATTTTGGTGGTTTCTAAGGGTCAGTTCACATGACACTGACTGCTGACAGAGTACACCTGCCTCAAAAGGTGTTGAGTCCCCCACCTTGTTCTTGTCAGGGATCTGTAATTCTCTGCTCTCTGCCTACCACCCATGGTGGTAGCACAACCCCACAAAGCATCCACATGGGGTTAGCTTCTCACCTACCATACAGCCATGTTGTGGGCAGTCAAAACTCTCTCACTCTTCTGTCTCCCTGGTGCAGAAAGACCAGGAGGCCTAAAAATCTAATAAAGCACACAAACTGTAAAGCCCATCATCACCAGTTTGGCAGGACTTTTTATTTCCAGAAAAATGGTGCATCTTCCAGGTCTTCCTCTCACAAGCCAGTAGAGTAAAGCCTCCAGCCTCAGAGATCACGGCGGTGCTTCTCACTGCATCTCAGATGCAGGCTCCCCGATACCACAGCACACCAGCATGTTGGCTGCAATGAAAATTCCAGAAGCTCTGAGCCCAGAAAATATCTGGGCGATCTGAAACCATGTGAAACGGGTGGCAGACAGTAAAGGGTAGACACAACCAAGGACAAGGAGGAGGAGGAGGAGGAGGAGTACTCACAGTCTGTAGATGTCTATGCAACTCCCATTTCCCTCAGCAGACCTGCAGCCCCACCCTCAGAGACATACATAGAAAACAAAGGAGACAGATGGTAAATGAGTGTGGTTCAGACATCATTCTTTTTGACATTACTGGAGTGAAAAAGATTTACACCAGCTGATAAACCGACCATCGGGTGTTGGGGTGATTGAGGGCAATTTCACCACCCTACCACCTCACCCCCACCAAAAAAGAAGGCAACAAGAAAGCCCTGTTTCTGGGGAAAGTATGTAAGCTTCAGCGTGGTGCATGTTTCTGTTCATAAAACATCATGTAGGTCTGCAGTCCCCAGCAACTGCTGACAGCCATCTGCTGAGTGTGATTCTTTTGATATGACTCAAGGAAGAGAGAGTCTCTCTCCTCAGAAAAACAAATAAACCAAGTGCCTGGGATGCACCAGGGATTATCAGACAAAAACCTAAGCAGGGAGACAGAAGACTGCCTCCAAGTTCTGTCACAGAAAGAAATGTTTAGGACTCAACAGAAGCATTCTTCTTCAGCACCCAGCTTCTCAATGTGTATCTCAAAACCAACACAAACAAGAGGTCCTCCAACATTTCTCAAGGCCCTGTCTGAACTTTCCTCCTCTTGAGAATTTTAGATATAAGCACACTTCCAGTACTATGTGCCTTGACATCCAGGCTTAGGTGTAGGGCTGCTACAGCAAACAGTGACCAAAGTCATTAGCCCCTGAAAACAAAAATGGCCACCCAGCAGTAGAACTCAGGGAGAGCGGTAGCTCAAATGCTCTAAAAAAGGGAGAGTGGGATTGTCATGTCTTTTGAAAATCATTGATAGGTGGGCAAGTAACTGCCCTTGAACTTCCTAGAAATCCCAGTCTTTGGGAAAATGATCAGAGATGCCTGTGTCACAAGCATATCATGGAAGGAATTGAAAATGAAGAGAGGAGAAAAGAATGTGTAAGGGAGATGAAGGAGGTAAATGCACCATGAACTCACAGTCAATAGATGTGAACAGAACTACATTTCACTGTCACTGTCAGCAAGGATATACTGTAGCATGTTGGCACACCATTACCAGTTTGTTCACTCATTGATCTTTCTCAGATCTTCCAAGCTTCTCTAATTATCACCCCAAGATGTTCCAGAGTATCATCTCTGTGGCCTTTGCCCAATTCACTCTTTGCCAAACCACCAGCATTCTTCAGTTTCTTAAGAGACACTTCAGTCACCATGAATCTCAGTAGTAGAGAGCTCTGAATCATCTCTTGAAATTAGGTTTGTCTGTTTGCTTATTCAAAGCTGTGTTATAAAACATGCTGAAGTGTTCTTTTTTTTTTTTTTTTTTTTTTTTTTTAAATTAAGCAATGCAAAAAAGGGAAACTATGCTATCAGAATGACTCAATAAGTTTGGCTGTTATTCTCACCACAAGCGCTAATTATAAGGTCATAAAAACATTCTCCTCCTACTTACACTAAAATAGTCAAGTATTACACATAACCAGGTACCCAAAAAGCAGCTAATGCCTTATCACTTACTTGCAGCCCATCACCACCAGTATCTGTGGCATGAACTTAGAATACTCCTGAAAAAGGTTAGCAGAGGGACACTTGCCAACATGCCAACACTGCTTCCTAACATTACGGCTAGAGATTCTTAAGAGTAAAAGGCAAAGCTTCTCTGGGGCAAAGTGCTCTCTGAGACACTTAGGAATGTTGTCTATGGCACTAATTGTACCTTTTCTAAAAAAAAAAAAAAAAAAAAGGCCAGCAGCCAAATACTTGTCACCATTACAGCCACATCCTCTAGTCGTCAGTGCAGGCTGCTCAGTTTGCCCCTCAGAAGCGGCAGGGAAATGCACTCATGCATCAAATGAGCCATTCTGGCAAGCGCACACCTGGGAAAGCTGAGGTTTGGGCTGTCTCAGTCTCTCCTCTGTCTTACACGCTATTGTTCAAGCAGAACACATGTGACCCTAGCCAGTGACTTTTACCAGCACATCTGCTCACCTGCAAGTCTGGCACATATCTACTTCTCATGGTCAAAGGACCTTTTGCATTCCCTACATAGGTCTCCAAGATGAGTACACTGGCTATTCCCTTGCTAAATAAAAGGATCTGAACCATGCACAAAGCATCTTCCTGCTCCTGCTACTCTGCAAAAGGGTGCTTTCTGTTTGCTCACTTCAAAGTAACCACAAGCATTTCTTCTTGGGGAGAGGGTTTTGGAACTGCTTGTCCAAAACCCTGAGTCCATAACCAGCAGTCCAGAGAGTGGGAGAGATTGCAAGCAACCTCCTGCATTTGCAAGTTTCCAGCTAGGTGCCTTTAGAGTGTTCCTTACTCAGCAAATGACTTCTTTAGGGTGCCCATGCCTTGTCACACACTGGAACCAAGAGATCTGCCTGTAGGACCTGAATAGGAGCAGACACATAGAAGCTTATAATTTTGCCACCAAATTTAAAGTAGCCTTTGTTTCCCTGCTGATTTCTGCCCTGGTGCAAATCCCTGCTCAGATCCTGCTTCATCTGGTGCTGAGTACAGCATGCTGACAGGAAACAGTCACTTTTCTCTTTGGCCATGCCCTTCTCTTCAGCTTTAATTGTGTTCACACCCTCAACTGTGCTCACCCCTCCTTTCTTCTGCCAGCTTCATGTACAGATCTCTGCATCTGAGCTCTGCAGATGTGAACTCCAGATGCACAGACATCCCACTGGCAAAATGCAGTTCAGTCCCACCAATCACCAAGCCCTCCCTGATCACTACTGCAGTGTCAATTAGAGCAAATTTTCTGTGGGGATAGTTTCTGACACACAGATATTTCGTGGATGTCTATCTACACAGAGGCTTTCCACAGGGGAACCTCCGGGAGATTCTTCAGGATAGAGCCTGCATCTGCTTTAAAAATCAGGAGGAAGTGCAGAGGCAATAAGTTAGGTAGCTCCTTTTCCTACAGCAGGTATGTACACAGATGAGTTATTTGACATAAGTCACTGAGAATCTTCAAAACTGCAGTTAATAGCCCAAGCTAATGAGAGACCACAATAAAGAACTGAAGTCTAAATCCCCAAAGGTATTCAGATGCCTTTGGTTTCAGCACCACTGAGTTTCTGGGCCTGACACATAAAACTTCAACTGCAAAAGCAAGACCACACTCATGACTGTTTTCTCCACGGAGTTCACAAAGAACCAGCTTGCATAGAAGCATGGTAGTAGATGGTCTTCTAGAACCCTGTAAGAAATTACAGGGGGAGGTTACTTGAGAAGCACTCTTTTTTTTCTGTGTATGAAAAACACAAGTTTTTTTCATTGCTGCCTGTGCTACTCTTTAAATTAATCCCACACAGACAGTTAGTTGGATCCTGTGAAACAAGAAGGCTACACTTGGCACCTCCTGCGTTACAGATTGTGCCTGTGAAATTGAATTTACAAGGACAAGACCAGAGAGAATGGCAAAAAACAAGGAGCTGTTGAAATGATGTATTTGCCTGTATTATATTAATAATTTGTCATTAAGAATAAGTAAAGACTGCCATGCACTTAGAAGTGAACATCTCCTTCCATAAGTCTCCAGTCTGGGACTCTAGCTATTTACAAATCAGGGTTTTGGGAGAATGACTATCATACATTGCCAATACACAACAAGCTAAACCCAGATGACTAGAAAGTACTACTATTGTGAATACTTTTATTAGACAATGTCAATGAAAAGGTTACACTGTGGGTGACAGGTGGCATTACCAATGTAACCTCACTCTGCAGAACTGAAAAAAACCAGCCACGTTGCTAATTCACAGACTTAAAAACACCACATCCCAAAAGCAGCATAAAGACTGTCAGATACATGCCTGGTGTTTGGGCTTGTCTTGGCGAGAGTGAAGAAGAAATCTCAGTAGGCCAAAGCTCTTCACTTGGTAATTTGTTAGTAAAGGAAGAACTTCATTCGCCCCAGCAGAACTCCCCTTCAGGACACCTACAGCATGTGTGCATGTGTGTAATGCACACAGAAAAAATAATGGTGTTTGTGTGAGTAACTTCTTCCCAGTGTGTAAGCTTGCTTGTGCAGACCAGTCAAAGGCCCCTGACACAGTCAGTAGGAAGATTTTAAAGAGTGTAGGATTAAAATATCATGGAATCAATGAATCAAATAATATCTTGAGTTAGAAGGGACCCATAAGGACCATCAAAGTCCAACTCTGGGTCCTGCACAGGGCCATCCCCAAGAGTCACATCATGTGCCTGAGAGTATCATAGCCTCTGCTTCTCCCCAATTGGATCCTGAGCTCTGTCAGCCTTGGTGCTGTGATCACTGCTATTGGGGAGCCTGTTCCAGGGTCCAATCACGCTCTGGTGGAACAACCTCTTTTTAACATCCAACATAAACCTCCCCCAACACAACTTCAGGCCATTCTCTCAAGTCCTGTAACTGGTCCCCACAGAGCAGAGATCAGTGCCTACCTCTCCTCTTCCCCTCCCCAGGAAGTTGTAACTGCCATAAGGTCTCCTCTCCGTCTTGTCTTCTCCAGCAGAACAGACCAAGTGTCCTCAGCCGCTCCTCACACAGCTTCCCCTCAAGGCCCTTCACCATCTTCGTTGCCCTCCTTTGGACACTCTCTAAGAGCTTTAGATCTCTTTTATACTGTGGTGCCCAAAACTTCCCCAATATTCCTGGTGAGGCTGCCCCAGGTCAGAGCAGAGCAGGACAATCCCCTCCCTGGCCCAGCCGACAATGCTTTGCATGATGCCCCCCAGGACACGGTTGGCCCTCCTGGCTGCCAGGGCACTGCTGACTCATGACCAACTGGCTACTGACCAGGACCACCAGGTCGCTTTCCCAGCACTGCTTTCCAGCACATCATTCCCCAGTCTGTGTGTACATCCGGGGTTGCCCCATCCCAGGTGCAGAATCCATCACCTTCCCTTGTTGAACTTCAAATGGTTGGTGTTGCCTAGCCCTCTAATTTGTCAAGGTCTCTCTGTAGGGCCTCTCTGCTTTTGAGGGAGTCAAGAGGTCCTTCCAATTTAGTATCACTGGCAAACTTCCTTAGTATTCCTTCAAGTCCATC